TACTTTCCTTCTTGTTTGAATTATAAACAAACAGAGCAGGACCTTGTTGGGAAGGGCTCCTTTTTTCTTCTGCCTTAGTGTACAGTAACAGTGACTTGGATGATGAGTGTGGGTTTAGCAATTCTGGCAATAACGTTAAATATATAGTATTCTTATTTGACAGTGAATGCTGGAGGGAGGTAGTCATTTTGATAGGGAAAAATACTCTGTTATTGAATGCGAATATTTTTTGAGTTAGTTATTTAGGCGTATGCATGTTGTTCATTCAGTGTTTGCAAACTCCTGTGTAAGATGTGTAATATGGTACAAACGGTATGAACTTTCAGCTTCTTTGATATACTAGAGTGAGCACTCAGCATTTTTGATGACTCATACTGTCACTTGTGAATTAATAAGTGATCTGAGCTCTTCAGTGTAATGAACCCTATCATTTATTAAAAAAAAAGAAAAACTGTTCCCATAATTAGTGTGGTGATGTTTGATAAGAAAATTCTGTTTTTGAGGGACTACTATTATTAAATATTGTCAGTAAATACTGTTCATTTTTATGCTTGGCAAAACACTTTCTGGTAGCTGACTTGATGAAATTTAGTGAAGAATTTGTGGTAAAAGTGTTTTTTAACAAATTTTGTCTACTATGTTATAATTTTTTTAAAAATGAAAATATTGAGAATATTGAAAAGATGGGAATTTGCAGGAAAGGGTTCTGTCCAAGACATGTCTTCCTAAACCGCAGAATGTTAGCATGGGATTTGTGGGTGATCAAAAGGGCATGAAAAAGAATTAGGGACAATGTAAGAAACATGGTCTTTTACTCCCCTCAAAGCATATTAAAATTGTAGATTGGAATGTGGGCTCTGTGTCCTTCAAAAGGGCCTTGCATTTTTTGTGTGTTCCAAAAGTCAAAAGGGAGAAGTCTCTGAATTCTTACTTTTTTCACCAAAAATAAGAACAGTTTGTATGGCTTTCACTGTATGGGAAAAAAGATACAATTCAGAAGACATTAGGCACCATTGCTTGTCCATTTTTATTACTCCCTGTAGCTGAATGTGTGAAAGGAAACAAAAAATCACCATGACAAAATGTAAGTTTTAAAAAATTTTTTAGTATTTAGTTATGGGGGATATATCGGAATACAGCTTTAAAATCCCAATAATAATAATAATAATAATAATAATAATAATAATAATAATAGATATTTTAAAAATGCTATCTGGTAGTCATTGAGTTGTTTGGAGAAAGAAAAGTTGGAGAACCATGGCTGACGCTTCTACTGTTTTCCAAGACTGATGCTGAATTTAGCTTCATTCCTTAAGATGGATATGAACATGAAGAACTTCAAAAGAGCTTCATTGGATTTTAAAACTGTTGTTTTTAAACCCTTTTTAGTGCTTAATATAAATCTGTGTGTAGTCAATCTTAAATTTCAGTTGAATTGAGTATTGAAGGCTAACATCAGACTTCAAGATTTAGCAAAGTAATTTGCAAGTCATTAAGAACTTGTGACAGAAATAGTCATATATGTTAATAGCTTTACAGATCAGCAAACCCAGTAATTTCAGCAAGAACTTGTATGCCTGTGATGTTATTCCCATGCATGGTTGTACTACTGGATTGTTTTAGTGTATGGATATAAATGTAAGTATGATTACTGAGTTTACATTTCTGACACAATTGGTTGTTTGTATAAATTTCATTTATAATAAGCGGAATCTTAAATGTTTTAAAATGTACCCCTCAGAGATTTTCTGTTGTTCAGAAATTAAAATTAGATGATGTGTGGTTTCTACACTGTCTATCCCTTGTAATCAGAATTGTGGATTGTCTTTAAAATTATATTTTAAAGGTCAACTCTATTGTACAGATGAGTTGCCGTGCTATAGACAAAACACTGGAGGCTTTTTGTAGGATCTCAAATGAAAAAGAGGAAAAAAAATGGATGATAGAAAGATTATCACATTATTAGTTAAGCAGCTGATTCCAAATTACATACATTGTCAATAAAATCTTCCCTTATTTGCTTTAAAATCATCCTCAAAATATTCTGTTTGCTCTAGTGTTTACCTATCATCCTAGAGTCTAGAAACACACATCAATAGCAAGTCAGATTTCTATTTTGTGTATCTATGCTGCTATGTTGAGTTCAGTGATAAATGCTCTCAGTGCATTAGCATAGGCTTAAACTTCCTGCCACTTAGATTTCATGTCACTAAGTGTTATCTTAAATTTAGTGCCATCTATGGGAGCGTGAATATAATTTTAAAAGAGAACAGAACCTATAGTTCAGCTAAGTGGACCTTTTCTTTCCATTCCTGTCACCATGCAATCTTAAATGACCAGAAGTAAAGATAAGAACAAATTTTTAATATGGCCAATTTGGGCATTGAATAAATAATAATTAGAAAACTAGCTATTTTGTGAAGTAGCCAGAAATTAATACACTTGGAAAAAAATGCTTATTAGATATCAGTTTCTTTTGCTTAGAAAGAGCATGCTTGTTTTAAGTTCAGTTTTATATAATGCAAGAGTTTGGCTATTTAATTTCTTGTTGGACAAAAGACAATAGTTGCTCAGGAGTTACAAACATGCACTAATTAACAAAATGTTAGAGTCATAGTGTCATAGAAATAACCTGGTTTGGAAGGGCCCTTAAAGATAATTTTTAGATAAAGAGCTGATCCCCTTGTGGTCAGGGACACTTTTTGCTAGACCAGGTTGCTCAGAGCCCAGCCTGGTCTTGAACACTGCCAGGGATGGGGCATTCACAACATCTCTGAGCAACCTTTGCCAGTTCCTCACCAACCTCACAGTGAAGATATTTTTGCTAGTATCTATCTATTAATATTAAGGTAAGTATGTGTTTTTCCTGCCAGCAGCTGTAAGAAATAGATTTTCCAATTGAATTGTGGCTTGAACATTTAGGGTCTGAAGGATATGTCCATGGCAGGGCACTTCACAGAAAGGTGTAGCTCCAAATGTGTTCATGGGCCTCTATGTCTCTCTGTCTCTGTGACAGCTGCGATGACTCAGAATATTAACCAGATCACTTTTCAATGCTACTTTAGTTAAGCAGCTGAAAAACAGATAGCTTTGCAGTTGTTTAGATTTTTTTTTGTCATCCTCTTGTATCTTTCCTTATGAAATTAAAAAAACTCATAATTGTGCTAAAATAGGCCATATAAAGCCAGTGCATGCAAGTTTTAAACTGTTGTTTTAGCACTGTAATTGTTAAGCTGTTAATGAAAGTAATTGTTTTAGATCTAGTCATATAAGTGTAAAATTATGAATGTCTACCCTATTAATCAAGTTGCTTTTGAATTCTAAAGAGATTCTGAGGTAGGAGTTTGTTCAGTGAGGCATAATTGTTTTTCCAGCTCAATACAGACTAGTCCCATTATTCATGTTTTCTTTTCAATAAGAACTCACACTGTAATTCTAAGCACTTATGATAATTACAAAGGACATATTTTCTTTTTCTTTTTCCTTTTTTTCCTTTCCTTTAAAATGCTTCTTTTTCTCCCCTCCATTGGCATTATAACAAAAACCAGAATATTAAAACCATTTTAAATTCTAGTTGGGACACTTGCATTTTGCCAGGCAAATTTTACCCATTTTCTTCCTTGACTGTGCTGTACAGCTGTGTGTTGTTAAACTGCTGTTGCAGATGCCCCAGCTTTTGTGCATTTCAGTGCTTAAGAAACATATCAATTGTGACTGTCCTACAAGGAATTTGCTTACTGTAAAGGTGATTTTTTTATAGATTAAAATTTGGTTTAGTGTATACTTATCCAGAAAAAGCCTGAGGCAATCAATAATTGAAAACATGAAGAGATTAAGAGGCCATTATATATATGTACACACAATTAGAAACGCAAATATCATCGTGTTCTTGGAGAAATGGCTAAAATGAGACCTTCCTAGCAGTTGGTATTGTCTAATCTCTTACGTCAATGCCAATTATGGCTGTGCTTCTTCTGTTATGGTAGTGAAGGCTTAAGCCCTCAAATCCATCTTCTCTGGTGCTTCACTCTTCCTCTGAGCTGGCTCCAACCTGGAGCAATGCAGCATGCTTGTCTAGTGGGAAGCTAGCTCCATGAGGAGCTGATTCGAAATTAAGCTCCTGTTTGCTAAAACTGTGTGATGAAGTCAAGGCTGAGTTTATTTATTGCTTAGAAAGACAACATATAGGTACGGTCTGCAGTCGATGACTTCTGTTGCAATTTCCCTTCTTACTTGCTGTGACTGTAAGCCAGATTTTTTGAAAAGTAGTCAAGTGTTTTGATCTTTACAAATTTTCTATGTGTTACCATAGTGTTTTCAAATGACTGCCCTAAAAACTTTTTGACTCCACTGAAAGTGAACAGAGACACATTGGGTTTAGCACAAAAGACACCTCAGCTCAGCTGGTGCCTTTTTATGTGTTCAAAATTCTCCAGGTAACTGCAACCACCAAATTGTTTGGGAAGAATGTGAAAGGTAGGTGGATATGATAGGAATGCCCATCGTTGCTTTTTGAGACCTACTGAAACCAGCTGATCCCTTTGCCCTCAGATAGTTACCTCAAATATAGTGAACCTTCCCTTGGAAATGCCTTTTCTTACCAGTATAGATGTAAATATATCTGTATCTCTGTTCTTAAAATACTGGATGTGTCTCCTCTCTCCATGAATTTAATGGGAAATCAAAGGCTGTGTTAGCCAGAATGGATTTCTTAACCTTTATCTCCCCTGCTGTGACAGATTTTCTACCAAATAAAAGAGTTGATAAAAGCAGATTGGATTTCAGACCAAAAATTCTCTTTAGGATAGTTTAGTGAGATTAATCTGCCTTTTTATGCCCCTGCTTTTTGTTTCCTCTCTTTTTTGAGAGGGTGTAAAGACCAGTCTAAGAAGTCCTGTCATCAATAACTGGAGATTGAGATCCCAAAAGAGAAGCTACTCTTAAAGATATACACCATGCCATCTATTTTTTATTCACTGATACCACCAAGTGTTACATGCTTTTGGATTTAAGAACATTTTTATTTGTATCTGCATCACATGTTCATCACTGAAATACTACTAGGGAAGGAGATTAGACAGAAAAGTGTATTCTTGTCATACAAGCAGTTGGTAATATTTTAAAGCACCAACATACGTGGTGCTAATTGTTGCAGCCAGAATTCATACAAACATGCCTAAAAGTTACTGATGATAGAGATTCTGCACAGTGTGTGATTTTCATAAAGTGGCAAAGCATCAAGAACACACGATGAATGACTTCAATACGTGATCAGGCCCATGACTACTCAACAATTGTTGTCATGGATTAGGCGGCACTTCAAAACCTTGAGATAGTTGTCGATTTTGTGGGAATCTCGGCGGAGGCAGTGCAGCAGGTTGTAAAAGGCAAAGAGTCTGGAGTCCTCATCAGCAAGCTGCAGGGATGGAAGTCCATCCCACGGAGTGTAAATGTCATTTTCGACTTCCCCAGAGTGAACCTAAATACACAAAGTGGTATTAATAATAAATGATAGTGAGCCTGACTGGATGTAGAAGGCAGAATGTAAAATACTGTCCTTGAAGAATGTTAATGTATGGCTTCTAATATGCTTTCATTAGCTCACATTATTCTGTACAATGTTCTATATCTTCATTCAGATTTTGAATGAATTTGTCAGATTTTTCAGTTTCTTTTCCTAAAACATGTGAAAAGCCTAACTGTTTCAGTAGTGTTTTAAGAGAAGTAATGTATTAACCAGTATTCAGGGAAACTTGACTTTGCAGAGAAATCAATCCTTCCTTCATGCTTGGACTCATCAGGGACATCTCTCTTTGGCTCACTCCACTTTCAAAACTTTGTTAAAACTTGTTCTTAGAAGTTGTTCATGTGCAACAAACAGATTAGTCTCAGCCCTTATCAGAAAAATCAATAACACATATTCAGAAGTACCAGCTCCATAAAAAAAAAAAAAAATCTGAGTGATAAAATGACTTCTAATGTTAGAAAGCTACATGTGGGAACACATGTAGTGAGTTAGTATCTGAGGTGAAGACTGGTTTAGGTCTCCTTGTTTGAAGACAATCATTAATTTTCTCTTATCACATAAATCTACCTTTGATAGCAGGAAGGAAGTCTGTGCCTGATGGTTCTTGTGCACCATCCTTATTTCACACAAGTCATACTTCGAAAAGTCATATAGGAGAGTATCTGCGGAGCTGCTACCATTCAGTTTAAGCAAAAGGCAAAAAAATATAGACCCACTATGACTTAAAAATATGGTTTGGCACTAATGAATAAGCCAGTCTTATCTCTTTCTGTAAATAATGTGAAGGAGAAGGTGGTGACAGGGCAACTGGAGCAGCACCTGACTTCTTACTCTTATCTTGGACCCTCAGCTGTGCCCTTTTTACACATGGATGTGTGATAGAAATGTATTTGATTACACTGATAAATGTATTTGCAGCCTGGATGGTATAAGGTTTCTGAGTGAAGAGACAGCTAACTGAGAGACTGTGAGTGATCTAGTGGAAAGTGGTGGATACAGTGATGGAGGCACTCTTTGTGCTGTTCAGCTGCTCAGAGCAGTGAAGTCAGAACCTCTTGTCAACATCTAACTCGCTGACAGAATGATAAATTCACTGTCTAACAGAGGGCCCCTTAAAAATAAACAAGTGAGAACTGGTTTTGTTCAGGAAAGCTTTCAATCAATTAGTGGCAACAAGAGCTATTCAAGTATGGGTTTTTTGAGACAACAGCCTTGTTGTCTAAATTCACAAGTATAGGGGGAGCCAAGTCAGACACAGAATCCAGAGGAATCAGTGTGGTGTGAAAAGAGAAATGAAAGAAATCAGGGTTACTTTGTATGCCACATCTTTGCAATAGCCCAGACTTCCAGAGCTGTTTTAAACACATTATCTGTTTCCAAGACCTCTGCATAATACCTATTTGTATACAGATGCATATAAATATTCTGAAACATATATATATATGTGTATATATATATATATATATATGCATATGGAAAAAAGGGGGATGTATCCTTAAACAATCAGGATTGCAAATTGAAAATACTCAAAGATAAAATGACCATAGTTGGTCCTGATGATTACATCTTCCCCTGAATCATAACTGGGAGTGTCATGGGTTATTCTATGACATATCACATCACATTGTCACATATCAATCATATCGCATTGTCTCTTTAGAAATTGCAAGGTAGCAGAAGAAATCTGAAAGAAGAAAGCTGAAAAGTTCTCAGACTTGACTACTTTGTCTCCCTTTTTTATCTTCACATCTATTGTTTCCTTTCATATTCCAGGTAGGAAGAGCCTATCAATGTGTGTGTCTTCCTTAAAGCAGCTGGCTGGAAGGGTGTTAAGGACCTACTTACCCGCCCAACTATTTTCTCCATTCCTTCTAGAAGTCGCTTGTTTTGTTCTTCTATCTCCACAGCCTTTGAGAGAATGGTTTCTGGAGCTTCTTTGATTCTTTGTACTTCAGAGGCCAGGTGGATCAGGGGATCATTCCAGGAACGCAGAACTCCCAGTATTAAATTCAGTAGGTCTTCATGCTGCACACCCATAGTAAAGGAAGGTCATTAGAAGAAGAAAGCTAAATTCTGGTAAAATTAGAAGGCATTTAGAGCAGTGTCATCAGACACTGTGATTTAGGAACTTACTCCAGGACCTATCACTGAATGTGCCCTATAGCCCTGTCTTAGATACCTCTTTGGAATTGCATTTTCGAAGTTGGTCATTGGTGTCATCATGTTCTACAATACTTGTGTGAGCCATTCTGCAGTGGAAAATATAATTGAATACTCTCGGCATTAAAAACTAGCAAGCGTAACTATGTCTCATCTCTGTGAAAGCAAACCCAGAGCTCCTTATCTGATTTTTGATAAACATTTTAAAATCCACTGATTATTTTTATATTTTTTTTTAAATCTAGTACTGACTGGAAGGTGCACATTATGGTAAACCACCAAATAGCTTTTATTGCCTCTACGTAACTCATCTGTCCTCCCTTTTGAACAACAGTGCTTCCAGCAGTAGCTCTCTGGCTTTAAAAATTGTCCTTTCTTGTGGGCAATAGGAATTCATCGAGCCTATGGTTAAGTTTGTGGCAGTATTGAACCTTTTCTTCTTTGCTAGATGCACAACCCAGGGCTGTGAATTCTATTGCTCTCACTAGAATTTCTAAATGACACAGTGAGAAGCTGGTGATAGTGTGAGATGTCAAAGATATCACCACCACCATGAAACTCATAGAGATTTTGCTCTGGAACAGCCCCATTTTTACAGCTCTGCTTATTTTTATCTCTAGAGAATTTTCAAATCGTGTCTGTGAGTGTAGGCTGAATGAGATCTTCACTGAAGTTCATAATTATTATAAATGATGTATGCATGAAATGTGTTTCTATTTACACATATTTTGCAGATTTTCACACTAGAGTCTTTGTATTTGGATGATGATATGATCACTTTAGCCTACTTGTTACAGAAAGAATATTCAAAGTTTTTTTCAGTAATGCTAGCGTTTTGAGTTACTGGAAAACTATTTACCTCTGTCTACATACAGCAATGTGTTTTTATGTTTGTAAATACATTAACTGTGTATAAGATGTTTTAAGATAATGTTTAAAGTTTGTAGTGTTCTCAACACTACACAAACATGGTAACTGGCATTGCTCCATGAGGTAGTATTTTAATTGGAATTAAGATGCAGTGATTAAATGGAAAGGAAACAGGAAAGGAAGGGATGATGAAAGTCACTGGTACTTATATATGCTGTATGGCTTGCAACTTAGCATCTGCAAATGTTAAATCAACTTTGGCTTTTTGGTGCTTTCCTCTTCCTGGCTTTTTAATTCTGATTGAGTTGATCTCCCTCTCACTCTGAAAGATGCCTCACTATTCTGCAACCCTCCTTCCCTGCCTTCCCCTGCTCTGTCTTACACAGAATTACACTGGAAGTGGGACTTACATGAATCTGCTGAGCCTGCTCCTTATCTTCAGGAGTGGTTAAAGATGCTGTGTGGCAGCTGTTGACAGCTTTTGCAATGAAACCCCGGCCCTGGGCGTAACGTTCGTCCTGCAGATCAGCATGGACAGGTGTTATTGAGACAGAAAGGTAAGAACTTCAGCTCAAACACTGTGCTAGCTAACCGTTGTTCCATAGCTTTTATTGCTGCTTTTATGCTGTAAAGGTCAAAAGTTTCTGGTGAGTCTCTGGAGTGGAACTGGAACCCAGCAAAAACAAATGTTCCACAGATGAAGAATGATGGGAAAATGGTATCTTTTAATAGAAGTGCTGGGGATCTTAGCAACATTCAGGGCTATATACCAATTTGGTCACTACTGGGACCTTCACCAGACGGCAGTCTTACTGTTTAGTTATTATATGTTAACATATGTTTGTGATTAAAAAGTATTAAATTGCAATTTTATATTTTCTTGTCCTCAGGAAAAGGCTACTTACAAATTCATTGAACATTTCCGAAGACAGGAAGTGGATGTAGTGTGAAAGCTTAACTGCTCGGTCAAAAAGCTCCTCAAGGGAAAGCTGGCAACTGACAGATCCTTTGGGGCAGATTGGCAAAGAGGTCACTCCTTCCTTTGTCAGAAGCATGTGGGACACCAGAAGGGCCACCAGCAACAAACCTGTTCAAGTTTAATACACGGTGAAATGGGCTCACACTGACTTGCAGGTGTATTTAGAAGCAGCTGTCAGAGCCAGATGCTAGGTGATTTGGGTTGTGCTGTCACACAGCTCAGAGTACCCCCTGTACTGGATGCTCCAGCAGTGGAGGACAGACACACTGTAATTCTATATAATTCCTTTATCCTTTCTCCCCTCTGTCATCCTGATAGTATAGCAGAGCCAGTTACAGAGTGTGAGGAGACAACGTAACCTGTGCTGTAGTGTACAGTGCATTCTGAAGTCTCTTACAACGTGTCTGACTTTATAACAGAGTGATAAACAGAAGAAAAAACAAATCAAAATTCTTCACAGTGCAAATATAGAGACATAATTATATTTGCACAGATATATAAGTTTGGAAAATAGATTGGTCTTTTTTTCTTTCTTTTTTTTTTTTCCCTTTCCCTCCTCCCAGAGGTCCTTTTCTCCTTTGAAAACATTTGGAGTTAAAATTAATTTTTGTGGGAGGGTGGTTAGGTCACTCTTAAGGTTGTGATTGTCCTGGGAGTTCCTTAAAAAGATTTCCAGCAGCTGTGCTTCTTTGCTCTTAAGAGTTTAACCTTAAATTTCCTACTTCTAAGAAATCAGTGATAGTTTTTTTTCTTTTTTTCCAGAGCTTCTGAAACTGATATAGAGGACTTCTCATTATCTAAAGCACAAAACATCATCTGCTTAAAATTTTCATGTTAACTTAGCAGAATTAGGTTTTTTATTCAGTGAAATAAAATATACGGAGAAAAACAATGGCAAATAATTAAAATATTTGGTAAATGAATGTACTTGCTCTGAGACTTTTACTTCTGGAAATTGACCTGTTACTTATATTGGTTCACTAGACTTATTTAAAATGCTCAATTAAAGTGTGCTTCACAAATCAGCAAAACTATCCCTAAGGATGTCACGTTTCTTTCTAGGTCTACATTCAAAAAAGGTGTATTTACACAATATTGAAGCAAGCCTTCCTCCTCCCCCATAAGCAAGGTACATGCTGGATGCTGAAGTTAGGAAAGTACTCTAAGGAATAACTTTGTGAAAACCTGAGACTTGTTGGCTTTTAAAGTCGATGAACGTTTTGAAAATATTAATTTCAAAATTACCACATCATCTCTAGATTTGTGGGTAAAGACATCTAGTCATAGCCTTCTGAGTGGTGCAGCAAACCAGTCCAGATCCAAACTTTCATGGTGTGACATCCCTCAAGCCAATTTTTTGACATCCCTCAATGCAAAAGTACTCTTAGAAGACAAAGACATCAAGCTCCCTTCTTCAGGTTTTGCGCTTTCTGGAAAATTATGTGGCTGGAAGACTGCAATTTCTAGATCTGTTACGTTTCAGATGCCTCCTAATTCAATCAAAATGAAATATAAAAATTATCAGCAGGTGAATGTCAAAATTCTTACCTTTCAGTGAAGCCCCCCTGGTGCTCATGGTCAGCATCCTGGATGATGACTTTCTTTACCAGAAAGACACCTCAATACTTGCTGCTATTCTCCGAACATACCACTTTTATATACACCATCCAGGGTCCATTTTGCATACATTCAGCAGGTTGTGGAGTTTGCCTCGATAATTACAAACATCAAATTGCCTTTCTTCCACATTCATATTCAGTATTTTTTTTTTTTAATTTTAACTGTGAGGGGAATTTCATTAATAGGTTGAGCTGTGAGATCCCAAGTATAATTGAATGAAGAGAGTGCCAATATTTTGCCCTGAATGGGGTGAAAATGTCATTGAGCTTGGAAATCTCCAGTTCTGAGACAGATATTCTCAGCATTTCTAGGCTGCTGTTCCCACTCCCCATGATAGTCTTCTCACCTGTCCTTGTTGCTTCTGCCATCTAAGCTTGCTTACATTAAAATTCTGACTATTTGTGGGAGGGAAAGAGTAGTTTACAGTATCCCCATTGAGAGAAATTGAACAGAAATTTATCCACAGTAAAGGGAACTGAGGGTCCTGGAAAGACAGGTCATTCTCTGTAAGTTTATAGATATGACATTCATGTTCAGCTAAAAGATATATTACACAGCACAAATCTTGGTATAACTGATCCTCTGAGAGATGTTTAGAGAAATAGGGTGAGTTTTCATATTAAAAAAGGGGAAAAATGTAGAAGAATTGAAGAGTAGAAGGTATATGTTTACTGCTTAATCTGAAATGTCTCATGAATAAGTTAGCATTGTTTAAAAAAACAAACCCAACCTCCACAAAACCATGAAATTATTTCATATACTCAAAAAACCCCTGCGTAAAAGATGGGCATTTCCACCACATGCAAAACACGTGCTGTCGTCAGCAGTGAGGTTTGTTCTCGGTTCTGATGCATCTGTGGTAAGCTGCAAACCAGCCTGAGCAGGTTGGCCCTGTTTTCTTCTTGTGTGAGGCTCATCTGCATGAATATGTTAGCAAATATGTAACCTTTCGTCTACTTCTCAGGTCCATTTACCCATGGAGAAACTTTCCAAATTAGATGGTCATGATGAATAAGGTATACAGTGTTAATGAATTTTCTTGCCTTTAGACAACTTGTTCCATACCTGTGGAATGGATACACATGCAACCCAGAATCCTTATTTCAGGATTCTTGACGTAATGATGAACAAGGGAGAAGAAAGGCTAAGCATTTAGGGCAGGCATTCCTTGGGAAAAAAGATACTTCAACAATAAACCAGAATCAGTAACAGATGGTTTACCTTTGCTAAATTCTAGGATTTTTGCTAGAACAGTTTGTTCTGCCTAGAGGCTGCACCCTTTACTGGAAGTTGAAGTTCTGCTGAGTATATGAAGCAGTTGTTTTCTGCAGCAGGAAAAGTGGCAACAATATTAGAATGGGGCCACAGCAAAAACTCTAGCATGGATGGTAGAAAAAACTGCTGTCTTCTAAACTGCGGTTAATGGCTTATGAGCTTCATTTAATTCAGCTTCATTTGAAAATCTGTCCCGATAAGATTACAGGTGAGACTGAAAAATCCTGGTATCTTACATTAGAAGAGTCCTGTGAATTAGATGAATGAACATTTCTCAACCCACCTGTTGCTCTTTCATTCACTAGTCTCCTTTTCTTGGCATTTTGAGGGTTTGGCAGTGGGGCCAAAATAAGGCACTGAGTTAATTAATATTGGGGACTAGATAACAAAGGCAACAGGTAAACTCCCTAGTCTGTCTTCTCTGTTTTCAGACAGGAAGGCTTCTCTGAGGCCTGATGGCACCAGCTGAAGTCAGTATCCTCATATGACTTAGCTTGGAGGATACCTGCCTCTCGCTGTGTAAATGTAGACAAGCACCTTAAATGTAGATCACAAGAGAGTGGTTTATTTGAAATGCAGTAGCATGACGTTTTATTTAAAATATTTTACCACAAAATAATAAAATTTAATTTTCTCTTCCACCTTTCATCCTCAAATACTCTACAGTCATGAATGGATTAAAATTAAAATTGTCAGCAATCAAGAATCATAGGCAGAAGAGAAGACGTTCTCTATAAAGTAGATAAGTATAATGGTGAAGTTCTTTTACCAGGTGTGGGAACTGACATAGAGATTAAGTTTATTTGTGTCTACACAGGAAGTCTTGAGGGGAAAAAATAAAATAAAATTCCTGATTCCCAGACCTGCACTTAAAGTGAAGAATATTTCTTGCTAGTACCAAAGAAGAAAAAAAAGAGGAGAGAAAAAAAGAGAGGAACAGTTACAATAACCAGAAATAAATAGATTAAAATGTTAATTTTCTTTTTTAAATCAGGAATTTTGTCCTATTTAAAAGTTGAAAAACTTGAAAGTAGATGAAAATGCTTCCTTCTGCCTTTTGAAAGTGACCTGGCTTTATATACTCCAAAGACATAGAATATGGCATCCTGTTGTCTCTGATTATTCTCTGAATCATGTAAAGGAACTTCATTCCAGCCTCCAATAACCACCTAATTCCCTAATTTTAACAATAACTCAAGATAGCACTGTAACTAGCTGGACAGTTACCATTACTGAGGAAAAAGCCTCTGGAACAACATGAGGAACTACAAAACAGAGCTGTGATTAGCAGCATGTTTCCATCTCCCTTGGTCTTTTACTTCTGCCTTAGAAATTATATATATACATATATATATATATAATTATTGTTTTAAAATTATCACATTCCTTTTATCTTCTTTTCTGGAAATAAAATGAGCAGTTGTTACCACCCAGTGTAAACAATATACCACAAGCAGGACTTACTATAGGCAGACTTTATTATATAGGCTTTCACTCATTATTCATGCTTCATAGGCATTACATGTGATGTATCAATATTACAGATAACAATATTTAGTGCTCATTTCTCAATAACCTTATCTTTCCATCTCATATCAGGTTTCAAACCATAAATTAGACTGCGGCATCTTGATTAAGAAGTATTGATTAGTACTGAAAGATCAAATATCCCAATTCCATTTTACTTTAAATAAGGTTTTTGAGATATGCAAAGTTTTGTGCATGATTGATGACTAATGCAGAAGAATGAACAATCTTTTCTAATAGAATAGCTCTTTGCAGAATACTTAAGTAGTTTAATTGAAGACTGGTAACATCACTTGATCTTGACTTTTACTTAGAAGTATCTGTCTTTATTAGCAGAACATTAGTTGATGCAGAAGTTTGAAAGATCATATTTTTGTTATGTTTTTAAAAGATGATCCCCAAATGCAGATCATGCAAAGATGAATGTCCCAAAAAACATTCCTGTATGTGATCTAAATAATTGAATCTTTGGATGCACATTAAAAAAAAAAAAAAAAAAAAAAAAAAAGTTTATGGGCCCTTGTGTTCTTGTTTTGCACATGCAATAAGAAATACAAAGAAAGTAAGTGTCTCTGTAATTAAATCTGGCAAAGGATGTCAAGAAGAACAAGAAGGGCTTTTTCAAATACATGAATAACAAAGGAAAGCTAAGGATAATACGGGCCTGTTACCAAATGGAAGGGACACCCTGGTAACAGAGGATGCAGAGAAGGCAGAACTGCTGAATGCTGCCTTTGCACTGGGACAAGACCAGCCTTCAGGAATCTCTGACCTGGGAGACCAGGGTAGAGGAGTGTTGGGAGAGAGACTTTCCCTTGGTCAAGGAGGATTGGGCTAGAAAACACCCAGGTAAACTTGATATCCTCAAGTCCATGGGCCCTGCTAGGATTTATCCACAAGTGCCGAGAGAATTGATAGACACCATAGCAAGGCCACTCACAATCACCTTAGAAAACTGGTGGCACTCAGTATAGGTTCCTGACGACTGAAAAAACAGGAAATGTCACTCTGGTTTCCAAAAAGGGCATGTAAGGGGACCCAGGGAATTACCAGACAGTCAGCCTCACCTCAATCCCTGGAAAGGTGATGGAGTGCCTCATTCCAGGAGCCGTCTTTGCCCATATGGAGGACAAGAATATGATCAGGAGTAGTCAGCATGGCTACACTAAAGGCAAATCATGCTTGGCCAACCTAATTGCCTTCTATGATGAACAAACTACCTGGATAGATCAGGGGAGAGGAGTGGATATTGTGGAAAGCAGCTCTGTGGAGAAGGACCTTGGGGTCTTGTCTTTCTTTTATAGAATATTTGTTAAATTGTCGTGTCAGCTTTACTTAGTGGTTGGCTTTGAAAAGTTGCAAAACTGTTTTATTTGGATCCAACCTAAATGTGCTGCTCAGATCACATAAAATTTTCATAAAATCATAAAACTGTGGAATGGTTTGGAAGGGACCTTAAAGTTCATCTTATTCCAAAGCCCCTGCCATGGAGAGAGGCACCTTTCACTAGAACCAGGTTGCTCAAAGCCCCATCCAAACTTGTGGAAAATATATTTGGAAGAGGAAAATAAACAGAATATTTTTTTCAATGTAGATAGTTTTAAATGAAAAATATTTTGTCTTTTATGATTACTTCCTATAAGGTCCATAAAACTTTTATGCAGAATTTAAGAACATGATTTTCTAGGATGCTGTTAAACAAGAGTTCTTTCTTCTCCCATCTTCTTCATATAGGGAACAGGAGAATTCTAAAAGCATTATTTTTGTCTCAGCAAAACCAGCAAAATAGCGATTGAATCCTTTCTTAGTGTGATCTCCGCATGAAGGCTGGTAAAAAATAGATAAGAACATAAGGGAAAATAATTCCATATGGAGGAAAAAAGGTGGAAATATTTGGGAGATTTTTGGTTTACATTTAATTCACATACTAACGTGGTTTCATAAAATTTCAGAAGACATAAAAATAAATGGCAAAAAATAATTTATCAACATTGTCATTATGATGCCATACATCTAAGTACACCATGAAATATTAAGTGTGAATCCCAAGTAGAATTCCAGCTAATGATAGCAAAAGCACAGGGGACTTTGGAAAGAATGGAGTAAAAGCAGGCTAGTGTATATTGCTTCTGATACTTGTAGCTGTTTGAAGCCTGTGGCTCAGTGCTCACTAATGCTATATCTGTGTATTATCAAATAACTTGGCAGCATAAATTTGATCTGGATCACACATAACTGCATTGTGGCACTTCAGCTGAATTATCGAGAGACCACGTTACAGTGCTTGTTCTGGCCTGATACTTGACACCAGATTTATCTGGGTCTTGGAGGTTGGATGATAAGGATCTGACATCTGCTAGATGCAGATGTACTACAAAACTGCAGACAGAGATGCACTACAAAACTTTTTTGTATGAATATGAAGTGGAAGGCTGAGCCTATG